ATACCTTCACCAAACAAAAAAGTCATGGATAAATTACTTTTAACCTTAAGATACTTTTAAAAAAGTATTTCAAAGTGTATAAAAGAGGAAAAGTAGAATTTATCTCCTCCTCGTGCCAATTCGATTGTCATAACATAACAGTAAAATAAGTTCTATTTTAGTAGATCAGTCAGTCTTTTTAATAGTGTATTTTTCTTTCAAAAATACTTGTACTCGATAGCATTCATACTTCGGGAACAATTCGATCTGTGCCTGTGTGTTAACCATGTTGCTTAAAATTTGACTGTTGATCGAACAGCGGAAGTTCAGTAGGTGAAAACATCATAGGACAATATCAATGTACAGTTCAAATAAAATAAAAATAAAAATTTTTAAAATAGCTAGAGATCCCTTCGATATCTCTAGACGGAACAGAAATTTCTATTTGAGAATTAACCACGAGATCAAAGAAAGCTGCCGTTTTAAAGGGTTTTTACGTCAGGTTTTCTGGTTCTTTACCATGTTAAGAATTTGCTGAGTATAACGGATAACGGAAACGGGTTCATAGCGGAGCTCCACGCGCGGTGCGAATAGCTAAGGAAATGTGGTAATCTACCCATCCGAGAAAATTTGGTAATCACGTGACCGTACACCGAGCGAGCGAGCGACCGTTCGTCCGCACCAGAGGCATACCAATCAGGGCGGATAAATGTTGGGCGGTGAAACGAGCGCTCCGCTCTTCATTTAATGTGTGATGCGGAGTAGGACTGGCACGAGCGCTCTTTCCGCGCTTCCGGTGCGCTTGAAGGCCGGCGAAATTTTCCTTTTTGCAAACCGGAAATCCTATTTTCTTTCTGTAATTTCAGGCTACGATGTTAAATAGATAAATTCGTTTCATAACAATATCAATAAAAAGTTTCATATGTTTGTGTCTGTATGCCTTTAAGTCAAACTTGTTGGTCGTGTAATGCCAAAATTTGAGTTTAATTTGTAAGTGTTGAATACCTCCTCCTTCCACTAAATATCACCTAATCGTCTTTCGCCATTTCGTTTGCAAAAGCTTAACACTTCTTAAGCTCAATTTTTACATATGTTAAAGAGGGATAAATTTTATATAACATAACAAAATTAGATTGATATATTTTGATATAGTGGCGTTGTATTGGTTCAAACTTTGCTTCTCGGGTTCAACGCGCCATGGCGATTCGCGCAATGCGTCGCAAATCCGGCAACCGCCGATGTAAACAAAATTTATTGAGGCTAGTCGTAAGGTTTTTTCTTTTTCTCTCTAAAACAAAACAAGGTAAACAGTAGAAACTGAGGGGAAACTAATTTTGAAGTTTCGAAGAAACAGAAAGACGTATGAGATGTTTTTTTCAAAATTAAGAAGAAGGATGATGGTGATTGAAATTAGCATAATTTCACCTTGCACGAGCTGCACACATTTATTGCCGCCTCGCCATCCGAGCGAAGACGCTCGGATGGCGAGGCGGCAGCAGAATAGAGCCGCGCAAGACTGGGCTGTAGGCAGAAAAATTCTCGATCGAGCTTAAAAAAGTGTAACCTCATGTAATGTAGATTCCCCTGAGACCAAGTGATGTGACAGTTTCAGCCAATCAAAAGGCGGTAAACTATACTTGGCGCACATATGTTCCCGCGAAGACTGAACTTGAGTGTGGTACCCTTTTATTGTTTATTCACCTAAATGTGGCCCCGGCAGTCAAGGAAAGTGAAAACTTGATGCATTGTATCAATGTTGGGGGGCATTAATGTAAGGTTTTAACGAAGAGAAGCTTGTAAAACAACAGTTTAAGCAAAGAAAAGTTTTCCATGTGAAACAAGCAATTCTCACCACTAAAAAGGATCAGATTACACGAAGAGATAAGGAAAGCTTGATACGAAGAATATATAGTCGCTTCTGTTGGAAAAACTGGTGTTAGGGAAAAAATCTAACCAGCAAATGGAAAAGTAAGAATAAAAAAGAATTACAAGCCTAAAGCGAACGACAAAGGAAAAGAAAACAACGCTATTTTTTTCAAAACCTGGCCGAGTTTATAATAAAGTGAAAACAAAATACCGACGTGCCGTACATGTCGTGTATCGCCCTCGCATGTCATTGAAAATATTTCAAGCAGCGCGGCGAATCATTCTAAAATTCAATCGGGAAACAAAAAGCTTCGGGAAATTTCAGAGGAGGTTTAAATAATTAAACTGCACAAATATTTATCTACAAAGTGAAACCGAACCGAGACTAATTTTGTAGTGGTAAGAGAAACGATCATTTTTTATATTTCCCCCTAAATATTACCGATCGCTTCCTCTGCAAGCTGTTTTATAATTTCAAAAAAATATGCCTAATGACACTTTAAACTTTTATATAGCAGGTTCAGGGGCGGATCTAGGGGAGGTGCAGGGGTGCACCCCCCCCCCCCGAGATAACCTGCGGTTTTCTAATACAACTGGTATTCTGCAAAAAAAAAAAAAGAAAAAAAAACTATGTGGTTTATTGGTGTTGACGTGGAGTGGCACGAGTGCACCCCCTCCTAAAAGAAATCCTGGATCCGCCCCTGAGGTTCGTAAAGCCACAGGAGTCTGAGAACTGACTCTTCTCCTAACCTTTCTACTTGCATAGCACCTTAGTTTCAAGAAAATAATCCTTTCAACAGGAAGGGACCAAGAAACTGTCAAATGTTGGATAAAAGGAATCCATTCCTATACAAAATACGCACGACTTGCTCGTTGGCACTCTATCGATAGGCATACCTAGTAAAATACACGTCATCTAGTTATGAAACACGATCTGCTGTCTTTTAGTTCTGCGATGGATGACATGGATGAGATTTTCCTTCGTGTTTTAGACAGTACTTAGTTGTTTTTGTTTTGGAATAACATCGACATTGGCGTGTGGTAGAACGAAAATATAATTCAGTGGTAGAGTCATGGAAGTAATAAGAGAAACCCTTTGAAAGAGATGTTTGTCTACTCCAATTAAACCTCCCGCAAAAAATAGCAACATTTGCCTCTCGGAGACAGCGTACCAGCACAAAGGAACGAGGAAGAAGTGAAAGAAAACAAATCAAGCCGCCATAATTCAGTGACAGCGGCAGTATCTAATGGATAAACCACATCGCAAGCCCTGACCGAAGTCGAAAACAAGCGACATATCTAAGCAGAGTCCCAGTCCACTGCATCACACCTTTTTGCTCGGACGCGCTCGTTTCACCGCCCAACCTTTATCCGCCCTGATACCAATGTAAAGTAACTCAATCAACAGGTATGGCAACCCAAATGCAACTCAGGTTTTAACATGGCCGCCCGGACTTTTAGAAAGAAAAAACAAAAAAAAAGTTTTGTCTTTTTCGGCGTTATTTTTTATTCTAACGTGGTTAACAGAGAAAGAGCTAGAGCGAGTTATTGAAAACAAAGGAGACGTATTTTGTAGGGAGAAAAACATAGCGGCGGTGAAAAAATGAGAAATGCTAGAGGCCAGCAAGATGAAAATGAGCGGCAGTGAAAAGTAAAAGCGAACATGAACACAGACAACAAAATATTGGGTAAACACATACGACAATTGCTCCATAAAAATAATGTGCAACTAGGAAATTTGACGTTTTAGTCGTAAAAAAAGGCGTTGTAGTCGTGCAAAACAACGGCAAGGAAAGACAAAAAAGCGTGCTGCACGTGCAAATTTGTTTTCTGCTAATTACAAGAAAAAGTGTGCTGCACGTGCAACTTGTTTTTTTTTGCTAATCAGATCTATTAGTCTTGAAGCCATTTTCGTTGTCGTCTCCGTTAAACATCTCTTTTGAAACGTAAAGTTCTTCATTGCGGCTGAATAAGGGTTTTAGGTTTTTTAATTTTCTCCAAAGTCCCTATCTGAATAACTGAAAGTGATTTTCTTTTGTCCGTGAATGTGATGGTCTCCAACAATGAGTTTTGTCACGCTGGGCCCAGCTCACAGATCCAAATTTCGAAGAATGGATTGCAGCTTAAACTGAAGCTACTTTAAACATCGAGAACTACGTTGTGAGTCAGTCAAGATTGCTCTTAAGTAATGATTTTTCAAGTCCAGCTTGTCCTTCTAAAGAGATCTAAAGATAATGTGAATCTGTCTGGAGCTCGTAGATAACTCTTTGCGACTGTTCTGTTATTGCTACTTTGTTGTGAGGCAAGCTAAGACCGAAGCCGGTCGGCAAGATTACAAAAACATCTTTTCCACGCGCCAAGCTCACAAGGCAGGTTTTCCGTTCCTTCCTCGGCGCTCCTATGTGCGGAAAATCTCGTAAACATTTGTTCAACACAGAAGTTATCGCGGATTCCTCTATTTCACGCGCGTGGACGCCGCACGCCATCTCTCTGAGTGACAGGAACGACCCACTTTAAGAGTGTTGATATAATCTGTCAAACCTGACCAATCAGAGGGTATACCAGGAGCTGGTATACCGGAACGGGTCGTTTAAAGAAATGATTACAGGCTCCGCCGCCCCTTCTCTGCCCAGTTTCCTCCCGTTTTATTTTCGTGTTTGCGCTTTGTCAATTTAGCGGACCCGACTATCTCGGAGCCTGGAACAGGCTAAAAGACTAGGGGACGAAGACCTCGGTGTTGTGGTCAACCTTAACACATCACATCATTCAATCATGGGTTGGGTGGGTACAGTAAACTCATAAATGGACTGAGAACGGCCGCCAGTGGCGCCTTTTTATGCTGATGTCCGAGCTTACTGTTCACATGTTAAAAATGTATTGTAAGAGGCCACGTCTGTTGATGATCTCTCATCCACGACTATTCATTCATTCATTCATTCATTCATTTATTCATCAAAATCACACAAGGGCAATGTCAAAAGGTATTAAAAACCCTGTAATGGAAAACGGACCCTATTTCCTTCCGCTAATGTTCGATGAGCGCATAATCATCGTTCGAACAGACCGTTTTCTTTTCTTTTTATTTAAATAGACCGATTTGTTTCTTTTTGGAAGGTAAATTGCAATATTGACAAATTTTGTGTTTGAGATTTGTCATGGATTTCACTAAGTACTGGAACATTTTCTGGACACTGACATTTGCCTTAACATCCGTGGTTATTACCATCGGAAACCTTATCACCACTGTGATATTTTTGAAACAGAAACTTCGAAAACGCCCACACTTCCTACTGATTAGCTTGGCCATCGCGGATCTTATGGTCGGAGCCTTCGCTGTGCCTCTGTACATTGCTGTTGGAATTTGCACGACTAAACGTTTGTTGATACTTACATTCCAATGTGTTGATATTTTCACCGGAGTTTTATCAATATTCACCTTGGCTAGCATTTCGTTGGAAAGGATGCACGCTGTTTTGTGGCCTTTACGCCATCGAACGCTGACGTCGCATTTCTACACGTGTGTCATAGGTATCCCTTGGATCCTAGCTCATCTTGGCATTTTAGCCCGAGTCCTGCTTTATTTTTATATAATATCGAAACTGGCTTTTGTTGTCATCATTTTAGTCTCTCTCACAAGCCCTCTTCTTTTCACATGCGTTGCTTACTCTCTAATATGGAGGAAGCAAAAGACTCGTCCTCACCTGGCAAGACAAGCACATCAAGATGACTGTTTAACAAAAACACTTTTCATTGTTTCCGGGTCATTTGTCGTAACTTGGCTTCCATCCCACATAATGAACATTATTGCTTCGTTTTGTACTCCGTGCCAAGGCTGGCCTTTTGTGGTTTTTCATCTTATGAAACTACTTCAGTTTGGTAATTCTTTTGTCAACGTTGTCATCTATCCTTTTAGAATTGCCGAATACAAGGAAGCTCTCTTTTATGGCCCGCCATGTGTAAAAAAATTCCGAAATCTCGGAATGGTTCCGAAAATTTCCCAATGATTCCGAAAGTTCGGAATGGTTCCCAAAATTCGGGATGGTTTGGATTTGCGAAATAATTACGAAAATGTCGGAATACTTTCGACTTTCGAAATATTTTCGAAAATCGCTCGTAATGCTGCCGAAACACTTGACGCTGAACATAGAAAGGAGACTGGAAACGACTGTGGAAACACCCATCATCTGCATTTCGTGCAACAAATTATTGCCTAATTTGTTCCTAATTTTTTCTAGGAAAAAGTTCATTATTTTATATTGAAATTTTTATTGCAACACAGACGAAGCTATTTTTTAGTTATTTTAACGTTTTTGTAAACTAAGAAATACTTCACGGCGCGGGGGTTGGTCACAGTCAGACGCCCAACTTTTTTTTTCTTACTAATACTGGGCATCCCACGTAAGAAACTGCCAATTAATAATAGCCTAAATAGTATAAATGGAAAATGCTCTAAACTGCTAATCATCCGCACTTAAATAAAAAAAATTAAAGGGTTTTTATAAGGAACGCTTTAAATTGTAATGTTATTTATATGGAGACCCGCTGCTACGACTTTTAATCCAACATTGGTAGCAAGTTCCATAAGAAGCATCAAATGCTAATGCACGACTACCAAGGTGTAGAGAACTTTTTTTTAAAAAACAAAGAGGATGAACTGGGTCCCTTCCTACTCTTCCTTTAGTGCGAATTAGAGAACACCGGGATTGAGGGTGACTGCGTTTCATACCAATATTCATCCAATCTTCTGATTTTTTTGCCCCCGACAAATAAAGGAAGGAGCGCGCAGTGACTACGAGTAGTCCCCGTTTTTCCTCAGGGAGAGTAAAGCGAGCGAAACGCGAGCCCGCGTGAAAATCACCCCACGCGAGAAAGGTAAGACGCTCGCCTCTCGCGTGGGGTACTATGCTCGAGGAAAAATGGAAACCACTCGTAATCTAATAAGACGGAGTCCTCTAAATTATCTCTTGAAATGTATTGAGGGGAAGGACCAGGAGAGGTGTTGGAGACCCCGCCTGTACGATCGTTTATTGCACGAGTCGTCTAGACAAAGTTGTCAAAGTAGTCAGGGAACAAGTTTTTAGAAAAATAAAAATCAATGGACAACAACACAGTGTATGGCTTTCCAAAAGAATTTATTTCAAGTTAATTACAAAACCTACATGCATTTGAAGGGTTGTGACTGCATGAACCGGTATACTTTTAAAGATGATTTATCGTTTTGGATGTTCGGGGGAGGATTTCCGAGTTCTTTCATCCAATGACTCTAAGTACGTTTGGTGAGTTATTAAAAAATATTACTATTAACGGCGTTTCAAAACAAGAATTTAAGATCATTATTTTCTATGATGATCTCTAAATTACGGTCGCGATTTGTTTTTACGGCTTACGCGCCAGTTGACTTGATTTATTACCAAACACATCGGATCAGGAGGGAAACTTCCAGTCAGCTAATTGATGTTTTACTTCTTTTATATTGGTAATCCCCTTAATGTGGCCTGTCTTATCAAAGCCTTCTTATGAACATGTCCTAACTGAAAGCAAGCAACAAACAAATATTTATTGAAGCTTGGACGGTACCTCTTTGGTGTGGAGGTTCCAGAGTAAGGGGAATATAGATCAAAATTGCCGTTTGTCAGGGGGGGGGGGGGTGTCGGTTGTTTCTGGAAGTGTATGAGAAAATTCCGATATTTTTTATTATCGGTCGCTTACGTGTAATACGAGAGCAGGCCACAGGAGGTTCGACTGTTGCTACATCTAACTGACCAATACAGAATAGAAAATACCATGGTTACTCTAAAGCATTGTTTTAAGTCTCTCTTGGGGTCATTTTAACTCCTAAAGTTTATTATGGTATCTTATGGCATTGTCTGTAGTGGTCACACTGCACGAAAAATTGGATTTACACAAATTTACTCGGTGCAAATATGGTGCAAAAAAGTGCAAACTAGGGGGAAAGGCTAGGGCACTTAGCCTGCAACTGTAAAATGGCCCCTTAGCTTGGCTCTCTGTATCCACTCTTTACTGATCTGTATTCTCTCGCATTCTTTTTTGTTTCTTCCTTTGGGCCGTTGTCCGAGTATCTTTGCTCTTTTTTCTTTTTTCTGCCGTAGCTTTGCCTGCAATAAAGAAGAATGCTATAATTTATTAACAAATTAAGGCAAAGAAAGCATTTTTGTTCGACAGGACTGTCAAAATACGCTCGCCATGGAAACGTCAATGTGTACACACTCTTCACAATGACTTTAAAATGATCCCAGATACTTAAGGGAAAAGCCGCTAAGTTTGATAGTCAAAGTTACGACGGTTTTGAAATTGTTCAGCTCTTTGGAAAAGCCTAACAAAAGTCAGTGCAGGGGCTGTTGCACTCTACATGTTCCAGTTTCCGTCGGTCAAAATAAAAAGATGGATTAAGAATCATACATTAAGTGCCACCTACAGTATAACAAACCTCAAGATTTTGCGGTATTACCTGCTATTTTTTACGCATATTAACAAAAGACACCTGTTAAATAGTATCTTACCAACTGAGCTAGTCGAAGGTTTGTTCTCAAATGGTATATTACCTCTGAATGAAACCTGAAATCAAAAATTGGTGAAGGGAAGTATTTCATACAGGTCAGGCAGGTGTAACATGCCGTTAACATCAGATTCCACAGAGTTTGAAAGCCGATTTCAACACGTTACACCAGCTTATTCTGAATGTCATACTTCCCTCCTTATCAAGGAATGTGAAGTATAAAATATTTGTTTTGCTGCTCTGGAAAATTACCGGAGGAAACTTTTAAGAGCCCTTTGTGTTAATAAAACAAATCTGAGCTGTTCACACAATAGAAAAATAAGTGTCCTATTAAGGTTTTGGAATATGTTGTTTCAAGAATAAGGAGTCTATGAAATATTGATGGAAGGCGGGTGCCCTGTGTCTATGAAATCTACGAGAAATCTCTGTCTAAGAGAGCTTCGTCCCAAGGGAATTAGTCCTGATGTCGTGTCTCCCAAGTGTCGATGCTCTAAGAGAGCTTCGTCCCAAGGGAGTTTGTCCTAATGTTGTGTCTCCCAAGTGTCGATGCTCTAAGAAGAGCTTCGTCCCAAGGGAATTAGTCCTGATGTTGTCTCCCAAGTGTCGATGCTCTAAGAGAGCTTCGTCCCAAGGGAATTAGTCCTAATGTTGTGTCTCCCAAGTGTCGATGCTCTAAGAGAGCTTCGTCCCAAGGGAATTAGTCCTGTTGTTGTGTCTCCCAAGTGTCGATGCTCTAAAAGAGCTTCGTCCCAAGGGAGTTAGTCCTGTTATTGTGTCTCCCAAGTGTCGATGCTCTATGAGAGCTTCGTCCCAAGGGAATTTGTCCCAATGTTCTCTCCCTAGTGCAGATCCCAAGGGTTGCACTGTTGTCTCCCAAGTGTGTAGAGGTTTAAATAGAGTTTCATCCTAAGGGAATTGGTTGTACTGTTGTCTCCTAAGTGTATAGAGGTTCAAAGACGACTTCATCCCAAGGGAATTGGTTCTTTTGCTGTGTCTCCCAAGTGTCGATGCTGAAAGAGAGCTTCGTCCCAAGGCAGTTTGTCCTAATGTTGTGTCTCCCAAGTGTCGAAGCTCTAAGAGAGCTTCGTCCCAGGGGAGTCTGTCCTAATGTTGTGTCTCCCAAGTGTCGATGCTCTAAGAGAGCTTCGTCCCAAGGGAATTAGTCCTCATGTTGTGTCTCCCAAGTGTCGATGCTCTAAGAGAGCTTCGTCCCAAGGGAATTAGTCCTGATGTTGTGTCTCCCAAGTGTCGATGCTCTAAGCGAGCTTCGTCCCAAGGGAATTAGTCCTGATGTTGTGTCTCCCAAGTGTCGATGCTCTAAGAGAGCTTCGTCCCAAGGGAATTAGTCCTGATGTTGTGTCTCCCAAGTGTCGATGCTCTAAGAGAGCTTCGTCCCAAGGGAATTAGTCCTGATGTTGTGTCTCCCAAGTGTCGATGCTCTAAGAGAGCTTCGTCCCAAGGGAATTAGTCCTGTTGTTGTGTCTCCCAAGTGTCGATGCTCTAAAAGAGCTTCGTCCCAAGGGAGTTAGTCCTGTTATTGTGTCTCCCAAGTGTCGATGCTCTATGAGAGCTTCGTCCCAAGGGAATTTGTCCCAATGTTCTCTCCCTAGTGCAGATCCCAAGGGTTGCACTGTTGTCTCCCAAGTGTGTAGAGGTTTAAATAGAGTTTCATCCTAAGGGAATTGGTTGTACTGTTGTCTCCCAAGTGTATAGAGGTTCAAAGACGGCTTCATCCAAAGGGAATTGGTTCTGTTGCTGTGTCTCCCAAGTGTCGATGCTGAAAGAGAGCTTCGTCCCAAGGCAGTTTGTCCTAATGTTGTGTCTCCCAAGTGTCGAAGCTCTAAGAGAGCTTCGTCCCAGGGGAGTCTGTCCTAATGTTGTGTCTCCCAAGTGTCGATGCTCTAAGAGAGCTTCGTCCCAAGGGAATTAGTCCTCATGTTGTGTCTCCCAAGTGTCGATGCTCTAAGAGAGTTTCGTCCCAAGGGAATTAGTCCTGATGTTGTGTCTCCCAAGTGTCGATGCTCTAAGCGAGCTTCGTCCCAAGGGAATTAGTCCTGATGTTGTGTCTCCCAAGTGTCGATGCTCTAAGAGAGCTTCGTCCCAAGGGAGTTTGTCCTAATGTTGTGTCTCCCAAGTGTCGATGCTCTAAGAGAGCTTCGTCCCAAGGGAATTAGTCCTGTTGTTGTGTCTCCCAAGTGTCGATGCTCTAAGAGAGCTTCGTCCCAAGGGAATTAGACTTGTTGTTATGTCTCCTGAAAAGTTAATTCTGAGAGAGCTTTGTCCTGGGGAAGCATTAGTCCTGCAGTGTCCAAGCTCCCGGAGAGCTCTGTCCCAAGCGTAGGTGGGGGGTTAAAGGATATCATCTGACATGATATTATAAAAAAGTGTACGCTTTGAATCATTTTCTAAAGTGTTCAGAGAAAAAATATACATATTGATACTGAAAAGAAATTGAAAAAAAAATACCATGCCTGTGCTCAGTTCTCTTCTATGTAGCGTGATGTGTCAGCTTAATAACCAAGCCCTGAGCACACTCAAGGTTTCTTTATTTGGTTGATTAATGGCATTATTATGGATCTTCTTGTTTAAGAAATTAAATCAACTTTACAATAATAATCCTTTGTTTTTGACCATCATGTAACACCCCTCACCTGAGAAGAGAGTAACATGGACGTGTCCTGTTTTCCCTACAAAAGAACAAAGTTTATTGAAGTTTGAAGTCAAGGTTTATTGAACTTCATAACTCATTAATTACATTAAGTAAATTTACAAGAAATATATACAAACAAACATCGATCCTCTGCTGCAAATTGGCTTGACTAGTTGAGATGGGAAGAGGAAAACATAAAGTATAGGAAGTCAGCACAACTAAGGCAGAATATATCTGAACTGCAAGTATAGCCTTAGAATCTATGTTCAAAAGTTGGCAGCAAAAATTGTCATATGGTATATTTTCTTCTGGATAAGATCCTCTATCATCAGAAATTAGTATTTCATACCATTTTCTTAACATCAAGGACTGAATGTATTTCCACTCTGTCCTCATGTTTCATTGTCTTTCCATTCTTTTGAAGGATGAAGAAGAGGGGTACCTTTCTTTCTTGTCCAACCCAATCATACACTTCCTATATGGTACAATGAAATGATCAGAGATCATGCAAAAGCCCCCAAGCAGGTTGTGGAAAGAACAATTATTATGTATTAAAATAATGTTAAGTGGTCTGAGGTTTTCTGAAGAAACAAAGCCTTAAGATCTAGGTATTGAGGGATCACCTACTGGCCACTACAACAAGGCATGTTTCTAGCTTTATTGGTTTTGTTTGCCCCATTTTTTTTTTTTGGGGGGGGGGGCTTGCAGCCGTCCTTTACACGTGCTTATGACTTGGACTGACTGAATACCAAGCCAGTTAAGAGTCTGCATTCCACTAGAGGACATTAGGAAATAACAATTATTACAAGTCACCTGTCTAACTATACTTGTCAAACAATTTTTACCTGAAACAATGCCTCCTTCCTGAAATACCGGGTCATTATCGGATTGTTGTTTTCTCTTATGACAACCTTAAGTCCCACTTTTGGGTCAACAGGTTCTGGAACCCTCCTTGCCCTTTCCCTTCTGATTTCCTCCTGTCAAAATGGTGATTACATTAGTCAAGTCATGATAACATTCTCAAGGACTGATCCTAGCCGGGCGATGCTTGTCAGCAAACCTTTGAACTTATTTTTCCCAATCTAATTTTTCTTTTACAATTATTAATATTCGTAAAGTTTTGATTTTCAATTGACAATAAAAATATAAATAAAAGTGTATCAAGACAACTCATTATTACATTAAAATTACAATAGATGCTTGGTCACAATGATTATTTGTGTGTAATTGCTATGGTGGAAAAATATATTTACATTACACGTATACATGGATTATAACAATGAACAATGTATGAACCTCTGCATCCTTTTGTAATATCCTCTTGGCCAAATAGCGCCGAAATAATTGTTGGATCACTACCACAGCTTTTTCTTTCTCATCCTCAGGTCTCTCCTCATCACCTTTCTTTAAGACAAAAGTTTAGACAGATTCATGAGTAGAGACAATAATCAAGAAAACCAATAACATTTCCAAAGCCTGAAACTATTATATACTATCCCGTAAATATATAGGACTGAATAGCAAAATATACCTCTCCTTCCTTCTCTTCTCTTCTCGCCGCATCTGCCTCTTTTTCCAATAACAAAGAAGCAGGATCTGCATCAGCATCAACATCAACATCATCAGCATCAACCTTTAATAAACACAATAATGATAAAAAAGATAATCATACCGTACTGTCTATGATAATGTCATTAATGGCAAAGGGCTAACCCAGTAGTTTAGCAGTCAATTTACATAGCAATTAATATACAACACCATACCACCTCACCTCATGACATTGTTGCCATAAATATTTTGGATGCTCTCTATAAAATCTTATAGATAGAGGATCAACAAAAAATTCTCTAAGAGGCCAAAATTTACTTAGTTTTCCCAATCACGCAACCTAGCTAGCGTCACGGTTTGCATGTTATATTAAGCACATAATGCGCAATTAGGTGAGTAATCTATACCAAGGAACAAATTTAATTAATGACATTCAAAACTGATCTTTAATCAACTTACAATGTTCCCAAAAATGGACCTTGCTTCTTCTCGAGTCTAAATACAAAAACATTGATGCCAATTATAAATTTTCAGTTTCTTGCAGTTTTATTTTTATCATTGATGTTTAACAGACTACTACTTACCAAGTCACGTACAAAGACCCCTTCATTCCGCCGTACCATCTCTTGTCTTGATATCGCGCTAGTGGCTAGTGGTCGATGGATTGAAAAAAAGAGGGGCAGCTCCCTTATGCTACCTAACCAGTCATACACCTCCTAAAAATATATACACTAGATAAGTTCCTGCTGTCTTCCCATTAGTTACAAAGTATAAGCACACTCGCTAGATCATTGAGAAAGAAACAGTAACCCTGTACAACAGGGTTGGACAGTATGAGATATATTTTAAGCACACAACATCATGAAAGGTATGATGTTTAGATGACACGTTTGGATGTGTTACCTGGAATTTTGCACCTCTGTTGAAAAGACGCGTGTTTGACTTGCCTCCCCATTTTGCTTTAATAAGAAAACCTTCTCCATCTTTACAATCCCGCATCCGTTGTTGTCTTGTAGTGCGGATCTACAGTAAATGTTGCAACAGAGAGATTAAAAACCACAATTCAAATAAATATTCTGCAGATCTGGATCTCCATACATCAATCGGCACATTTCAATGAAGATTGAGAAACAAGTGTTTATGATAAAGACAAAGCTAAATTTTTTCGACCAAAATATATGACACCGAATTCTTATCAGAGTTTGAAGCTGTTCAAAATATTTCAGGTCTAAAAACTTGAGGCGAAGCTGAGAATTTTTAAGAGTCCTTTAATTAAGAATTTTAGAAGAAAATTCAGGAATGGACCTGAGTATTTTCCCTCATGAGATATAATACAAATTTTCATTAATTTTTTTTTACGACTATGAGGTTAACTAAATTCAAAAATAACTATCATTTGCTCAAATTTCTCTCATTTCCTGGCCTCAAAAGGGCAATTAAAACACCAATCTCTAGCTTAAGGTAATTAACATATACTTGCCTTTTTAGCCAAATTCTCATCTGAATCAAGCAAGGGTCTGCTGTTCATTGTAGCTGGTATTTCTGTAACCTGTTTTGCCAAAAAGAAAAAAAAAGACAGGGGCATAATATTATTGTTTGTCTACAATAAACATTTGGAACTTTTTTAAGGCAATATTAGATATAAACGCTTTAATCTTACACATACATTCACATCGCAGTTTTGTTTTCTTTCTTGAGCCTTCTGAAGTATTCCAAAATGCAAGAGAGAAAGTAAAAATATTAGTGAACTGAGATTTCCTTGAGTTAACCCTCTGGTTTTTAAATCTAACCTTAACATGATACTAGTGTCAGCTGTTAAGGAAGTACATTCTGTACTACCAGGTGATAATTTGAATAATTGAGTGTTTAGCCTCTTTCAATCTCCCAGATAGTAACATATTCATATTGTTACGAAAAATCTTCTTGTTGCTGTTCCGACAACCCTGTGTTCAGTTTGGTTTGCAAGCTACCCATCCTCTAAAAGATTACCCCCGTAACACATATGAGTTTTTCATCTATTCTCTTAATTGCACTGACCTGACTGTTGTCGCTTAGATGGTATAAACACTGTTTGTAACTTTAAACTATACAGGTAAAAGTTAGAGATATAACCTTATTAAAATCTTAATGATATTATTAAATGGCACTGCGAGTACCTTTTGATCTGACAACAAAGACTCTCTCAATAGCTGCTCCTGTTTCTCTCTGATTTCTCTCAGATTTTCAGATTTTTCCCTTTTGATAAATATACCAATAATATTAATAACAGCACAATCAGACTTTATACATACAATGCAAAACCAATATCAATGGCTAGAGCAACAAGCAAGCAAGCACTTATTACCAGTCTGCATATCTCCCCTGGTAATTGTTTAAAGAATTGCTGAACTTATCCAGCACAGCCCCATTATTCAAATTATCTGCAAGAGAGAACATACAAATCAGTCTCTATGTCTCATAAAAACAAAACGGGGATGATAAAATATTTGCTGTCTTTATTTACTTAAGCTAGAGTTTTGAAAAGTAGAAATATTATGTCTTACCTCGACTTGTTAAGTTCATGAGGACGAGGAACTCGCTCCCAACTTTGGTCAACAGAAGGGCTAGCGCGTCCTCAATGTTAGTGCGATGCAGAAGTCTCTTCACTGGAGAGAGATTGGCACAACAACATCACCAAATACAGTAAAAAATATATGCATCTGACATAATAAATCAGCAACTGATTTATTAACATAACTTACAATTTTTGAAAGAATCGCTAGTTTTCCTCACAGGAAAAATGGTGGTCTCTGTGTTTGCACGTTTGCAAAGCTCTGCCTGCTCTGTAAATAGTCTACAAACAAAAACAGGAAAAAATAGAGTGACATCAATGTTAAATAATAATCATGCTTCATGCTTAAGGACACCAGCCGGTGTGTTCAACTCAAAGTGCATGTTTTTATTTTTCCCACGATAACACTGGATTCAACATACCTGACAGAACCCTGGGAATGGGTATCCCAAAGAAGGACCAAAACTGGCCTTTTGGTCTTGATTAACGCCACTTCTGTTAGCTGATGAGACAGAAACGTTAACATAAGCAAATAACTTCTGTATGAGACTCATATAATGATTCATTACACATTATAAGATTTGGCTCATACCAGGTGCCATAACTCAAATACAATATTAGGTAGGTTAAGGAATAGAGCGGTTTTCACTTGACTGTTGTAAAACCAAAACCAAAGTAAATACACCAACCAACCAAAGGGCATAGTAAATCCAAAACCAAACCAATTCCTCAATTACTTTCGACAGTCAAGTGAAAACCTCTCTAAGGTTCAAAATTGCACTAGATTACACACTCACCCAACCACCAACCCCTAACCCCCTGACCCAAACACATGCATCTATTTTACTGACCACTTTAGTGCAATTAAAGAAGTGCAGCTGCAACGGACAAGGTGAAGTTATCACTCGCAGCAATACGTCCATATCAGTATTCGTCCCTTTGTTACCTTTAAATTGGACAAAAAAAAATGTATTTATAATTATATCTTCAAACATAATTTGTTAAATGACAATGACAATGACAGTGGCCATTCAAGCGCACTCCCAACTACCAAAAGTAGCTGTCATATTAATACCATTTTATTCAAGTTTGATTATGTACTCTACAATGGTCAATTTCTTCCGTCCCCAAGGTGGCCATTGAGGAGAGGTTTAACCGTAAAATTGTTAAGGGAAGTCCATCACATGAATAATTTTCTTCTACTGATTGTGGGGTCATTAGATTGACGTGTGCATGTTAATATAGCCACATACCTCCGATGCCAACTATACTTGAAACTGAAGCAGGAACGATGGCACCTAAAGGTAGTTAAAACACAAGGCTGTATATGAATCAGCAGCTAGTACATGTATGTGCATTAGTGTACCATGAGAGCAACAAGTAACCTTAGTACCCATCATTTACATTGTTATACCTCCGATGTTCCATTAATTGTTAAGTCAGACAAAGACACTTATAGGGTGAAAATTGCGATTTAAAGGGATGAACACAAAAAAGAGTGTGAGTGCCTTACAAAATTGTAAATCAAGTTCTATAATGTTACACATGGCCTTGAATTATCACTATTAAAAATACTTTTACAGTACATGTACAGTGCACATACCACAGACTGTAGCTATATCTGTTTGAAATCCTACTTTACTTGAGGTGACCACATTGACATCTGCAGATTGAAAATATTGTAGCAATATAGTTTAACACACACACACACACAAACAAAATGATATTAGCTAAAACACCACAAATTTTGTACATGCAGCTCCCACCCATATAAAACTTCCAAATATAATATTCCGCCTGCATTAGGTAGTGGACACCATTTTTTTTGTTGGCGGGGGGGGGGTCACATGGGTTTAAAGAATGCTTAATACAAATACTGCGTAAATATCTTAAGAAATTTTTGAAAATTTAAAAGTTATATGCCGTTGTGTTCTCCGACATCATTATCACATAAAAGAAGTCGGTATGAATGTTCTATTTACTACAAGAAATGAGTAAAATTTCATTAAAAAGCAAAGTAACTTATAAAATATTTAGTTCAAGTAAGACTTTATTAGCACTGACAGAGTCACTCTGAATGTTTAGGCTAAGCCTAAACAAATAAAATTAATGAAATTGGACTTCACAGAAAATTACTTCTCCTTGCTTGATTTGTAGTTCCCTTCTCTCCTACGGTTCTCCCACTGGTCAAATCAAAATATTGTCCAGATGCCAAATTTGATTGACATTAAAATTTCAACTTATGAATTCTGAATGAAACTTACTTGAAGAGCAACTTGCTACTCCTGTCACTTCAACCACATCATCATCACTGTCACCTCTTTCATCAGCATCTATTATAGCATCACTTTCATCATCACCATTTTCATTCTCTGATGCAACGTCACTATCACCATCTTCACTTCTACTGTCAACACTATCCCTATCTCTTCCCCTACTAACATTGTCTTCATCATCACTCTGATGATTGCTTCTGGTATCATCTTCTTCAGTATCACGTCTATCAGCAGCAGACGGAGTGCTGTCAGCTGTTCTGTCTGTGGTCCCATCTGGTCTCTCATCACCACCTCTTTCACCATCATCTATGGTACTGTCCACTCCATCACCAGAACCAACAATGCCGATTGAAAAAGAATCTGCAAAGAGTAGAGGTTGCCTTAGCTAGCATTTAACACTAAGGTTCATCTGTTGATTTTGGAAAAATAAATTATACTAATCATAATTGAATAACACAGTACCTTTAACTTACTATAATGATAAATAATTTTTAATTATTATAACACTACTACTACCCAAGGGCATTACCTCCTAGACCTGGTAGAATAGCCCTAGCAAGCTCTTCGTCAGAACTCTCTCCCATTTCTGCGCCAACTGGATTGTTCTCTTGAAATAAATAATTAAACAAAAAAATTATACAAACAAGAAAAACGTCAGGAAGGAACATTAGGCTTGTTGCCTATAAAATTTTTTGGGGCCCTTCGGAGAGAAGCCCGTTGATTGATAATCAGTAATAATAGGTATAAGTCAATGCTCGAAACTCAATTCATGTGTCTCAAAACTTGATTTGTTCAAGTTCCAAATTTAAAGAAAACTGCTTGTTTGTGTACTTTTATCTGTGGAAATTTTTTGCCCATAGTAGACAAACAAGTGCATTACTTTTTTGTTTCAAAAGTATGAAATGAGCAGGGAATGCACTGTTGTCCCTTCACTGGAAAGAGACATAGAGGCTATTGCCATAAGAATCATAAGCTTTGGCTATCCATCAAGTTGGAGCAAATTTTAGAAGCCTCTGGTGACCAGGCAACCATTAGGCAGCAGCCAAAAAAGAAAGGGGAAAAAATAAACAACACTAAATGCTATCAGGATCATGCCTATTATAGTCAAACCATTGATATAATGAACATGTACATGACAGAGTCCTTGGGATAACAAACAATTCGCCTTAGTAATAGTAAAATATAACAAAAGAATCTTGATATAATGTAACCTCATTTTATTGGTGATCGCCAGCAGCCGGCTACTTTTGACCACCCTGATTGACCCTTTGTTAAAACAAGGCTCCACTAAAAATAGATCAATGAGATAAAAAGTCAAGGGTCAACCAAACTTACGATTTAGGCTTTGTCGCCAGCGTCTACCTGGATCTCTGGAATCACCAGTACGTCGCCCTTTTAAAAAGATCACAGAATTCAACTGCAAGTTATTTATTTTATTTTATTTTTTTGTGCAGAGGAAGATTTTCCATTGAATTATGTGGTTCACAACTTAATCAACTAAGTTAAAACTTAACCTTTGAGATACATTACAATAATTATATTACTCATGACATATATGTACTAAACATGATCAAACAAGTGGTTGCTTCATTTTAAGCATGTTTGGCTTTAAGTAACAACCTAGTACAGAATAGGCCCTCCCCCCTCTTTCCCTTGATACACACAGACACAAAAATAAAAAAAAATTGTGGAAATTATATTTTAATCAAAGAAATGATTAAAAACCAAGTAATATCATTATTTACTATGTTTTGATAACAAATGGTCAGAAACACACTGTAACATGGCATAATTTCTACCAAAATTTTGATGTACCTTGAGTGGATGGTTGGCCAGATAAATCACCACGGCTACCTCCATTCTATAAAAATTAAGGAATGAACAATGTAATCTGGTCACATATATTTACATTACTACAACATAAAAGAAAGGAAAAGTGAGCAAGACAGTGTTAACTATATTCACAAAAACAAACCTGGCTTGGCTTTAAACGCAGATACAGACAACCTTGGCCGCGAATTGAATTTAAATCTCTTGCTGAGCAAGTTTCAGGCTGTGAACCAAAGGGTGTCAAATTATTGCCCCCGGCACCACGGACTATTTCAAAACCTCTTGTCCTGGTTGGGAGAAAAAATCTAAAGATTAATGATGAAGGAGAGAATGATTGACAGGTGATCAACTTAAAAATACGATAAATAAAAACAGATTCCAGGAAAAAGAAAAGCAAAAAACAACCCTAACCCGTCAAGTTCTGGGAAGAGGGAGAGAAGCCTTTCATATGTTGTCCGAGGTGTTGCTCCACGGGGTATTTCCAGGGTTTTTACCCGGCCATTGGACTCCAGCTCTGAACGTGTGGAACCACGAGGGATTGATGATTGGCCTGGGTTTAATAATATGACATTAAAACAATACAGGTTGTTGTTGTCTTGACCCCTGCCACGACCACTGCCTCCTCCTCTGCCACTTCCTCTGCTCCCACCTCTACCTCTGCCTCTCCCTCTACCACGACTTGCAGGCACTAGATTGTCCTGTAGGTTGAAAGATAACCCAGATGTAGAAGCAAATGCTGCCCTAACTTGATGGGCAATAGCATTCGCTGCCTGAGCAACCTGCAAAATTTAAAAAAAATAAGCAAGATTCTAATTATTATGATAGTAACAGTAAAATGTGACTTCTCTACAGTAACATTTTACCAAAATAATTAAATTAAAATAATTAACCACACCTTTAAATAAAATAAATAAAAAAGTTTGTCAGTCAAGCTATGGTATATGCAAATGTATAGATTTTTCTTTCCTAAAGAGAAAAGTCCTGAAGAATGTTTTCTAACTGAAAGACAGTTATTCTACTAATTGAAGACCCTTCTGCCAGGAATATAGCCAGAGCATTTATAAAAATATGCATTCAAGCTTACAGATGTTACAGCGTTGTCATTCCTGTTGCTGGAACTACCATTCTGGGAATCATTAGCAGTAGAAGCCTGTAGAGGTTTATAAGAAGAACAACATCAGGGACACTACATTTCAATATTCAGCAAAGGCTAATGCATGAAAGCCACTGTGATGAAAAAAATTTCAATTCATACATGTGTATATTACACTAAAAAGAATGCCATAAATGTACAAGTGATTGAACCTTAACTTGCAATCAATCTTCTGGTGTCAGCACATTCTAAATAACATGAGAGTCTATCTTATAGCCTAGATTCTTAATTTACAGATGACTAGTTTCTTGAGTCAATCTAAAGACACTTTTACTGAACACTCTTTTGATGTGACATGGGCTTAACTGAAAGTTAATATATGTGATTCAGTAGAGCCATCATTGAAAGGCAAGAGTCTTGGGCTACTATGAATGTGGTCCCTGACTACTTTCAGGGGAAAATAGAAGAAAAGTGGAGCCAAAACCAATCCCTAGCTGTTTGATTCCCAGCCTACTTGTTGGATTTACCCTGGAACTTGAAATCTTGTGACAGCCCTGTTGAATTAACGTCACTATGGCAGAAAATACAACACCTGCAGAAATATACCTAAAGCAAGAATAGAAATATCTATCTAGTCATGCTTACCGATGTCACAGTGCTGGCATTTCTGTTGCCAGAACTTCTATCCCCTGAGCTATTAGCAGCAGAGTCCTGTTGAACATTACATCAAGGGGAATACATTACACTTCAGTTCTAATAACGAGCTGAAGTGAGATCTAGGTGATTTATAAAATGAAAACTTCCAGAAAACGTCTTGGAAAGCCAAAATAATTTCTCAGCAACTGCGGCCTCCATCTTTGTTATTTTTCAAACTTGTTTCCAGTACTCTTTGACCGTTTTGTTGTTTTTCCGTCATGTATGCTTCATTTAGAAGTGTCACGGCAAAAAAGACAAAACGCTAACCCCCACAAGGATGGGAAATTTTTGTTGAGCTAAATGAACTTGGAATTCTACGTGATGGCTTGCAAAAACGATACAGCATGTCCCAGTAGCAAAACAGCATTTTCATAAATGAGCATGCGCTGTGCAGTAAACCTGTCCCTTGTCACGCTTGTCACACAAGTCTTGCGGTCTTATCTGTGTTGCGTAAGCGTCACTGAACAAAAGCTGTCACAAGAACTGGACTTCTTTGTCATTTCTTCTCATTCTTGTTCTTTAAAACTAACGACAAACTTAAATCAGATGTAACGTGCATTTAAGGCTTGGAAGATATCAACTAATCACTTAACATTGAACTCAGCCTTGCATTGCGCTAGTTTGAAATATTATACCCCATCTTGTTGTTACTCGTTAATTCAAAGATGGTAAGAATATGAATTAACTAGAAAAAAATGCTAATCGAGAGTAAAAGAAGAGACAATGATATCTCTTTGATGGTTCAGGCAGGTCGAAAATGGCAAAAACTTACCCCGCCAACAGCAACAGTGCTGGTGTCATTTGGGGCGGTGCTCGAACCACCACTTGTGCTGGAATCCTATAAAAATAGATCAGCCAATAAACCGTAAATAGACATTTCCGCGATTAACTAAACACGAACGGTTTCTTGAAACCTTACCATTTAAGATCGACAAAGATATCTGAAGTCAGAAACACGAAGCAAAATGCTGCTCACTATGTGCGAAAAGAAACTGCGGAATGCACGTTCCTCTCAGGGTGTCTTATTTCAAAGCTATTGACATGTTAACAACTTGACGTTTCTACTCGTCTTTTCTTAAAAACCAATCACCGCGCGTGAAATCATTTTACAGGTTAATTATAAAATTCACATTGACAGGAAAAACGGAACCGATCGCAGGCCATTGGTGAAATGAATGTCACAGCATGATTATTATGAAGCACATGATCGATGTCTAAAGCGAGGGTCATTTGAGAATTTCCAACACGTGTATTATCTGGAGACGATTTTTTGGTATTTTCCTCGAAATGGATGAAGAATTCGGTTTTCCTCTAGAACTTTTTGTTCACACAGTGGACCCAAATTATGTTTGTTTATGTTTGGTAAGTTTAAAGTCTTTTAAGAAGAAATTATACAAAAAATCACATGTCTAAATTCGTAACCACAGCCAGCGATAACATTCCATTATCCGCATACCAAAGCGTGAAATATGCGCGCAGAAGCTCCCATAAAATGTAGTCAAGTATAAAACACAATAATATTTTATATCCTTGTGTGTCCAATGTTAAGGTAAGTGGAAGAAATTGATCATGACCAGATTTGGTGCGTGGCAGTAGATGGATGAGGTTGGGGTGGGGGAGGGGTGGGTGGGGGGGAGGGTCGCCAAGTGTGTTGCCTTGTGTTGGGATGAGTTGGTAGGAGAATTGCTGAGAAAATTTGGTTTCTAGTGTAAACGCATTAAATGGTTTTGTCACCGCATTCTTTTTCAGTCTTGCGGTAATGCGAAATCCAGTCGTGTGTAACAAAGGTCACACAATGTGTGAGAAATGCCTTGAAACGGCCATGTTCAAGGGCAATGGAAATTGCCCTGTCGACCGTACTTTTGTGGGGGCTGTGCTACCTGTAAGAAACTTGGCATTGCAGTCCATGATTGACAAGCTTCAAATGAAATGTCCAAATGAAGCTGGATGCAGCTGGAGTGGGCCTCTGGAAAGTGTCCCACAGCACCTGAAAGAGTGCCCCATGGAAATGGTCAAATGCACCAACACGGACTGTACTGTATCAGTCTACCGATATGAATTAAGTGGACATTTGGAGAAGTGCCCCCACCGGACCAAAGACTGTCAGCATTGTGGTGCTAAAGTGAAATTGGTCAATTTGCCAAGACACAATGATAATTGTCCAAAGGTGGCTTTGGAATGCCCAAACAAATGTGGTGTAACCCTGTTAAGGTATGTTATCCAAGTTTTCTCAATTTGTTTCATTTAGAAATCAAATAGTTTTTTAGTGGAAGGGGCTGGTCAAGAAATGAGTATGTGACTGGACAATAATGCAATACAGTGACCGATCCAGGGAAGTGGACCAGGGGGCCCACCACCCCTCCCCTCACCTTATTTTACGACGAAAGTGAGACCCAAAGGGCCAAAAAATTTTTTTAGTTTTACCGGGGGCCCCCTTATCTCAAGGTCTGGATCCTGAGCACTGCAGTTATGTTTTGTAATATTATACAACTTTTCTTTGTGAATGAAATTCATGCCATTCCTTGCATTGCAGAGACCAAGTCATTGCACACTTTTCAATGTGCAGTAAGGAGCCCTTTGCGTGCCCTTTCAACTGCGGTGAAATCCTTAGGCAAGGTGGTACGGTCAGAAATCACTTTGAGGAATATAAGGCTCCTCATCTCAATGCAACCATGGCAACACTGCTTCAGACAATAAAGAGCAAGGTATATATCCACTTGATAAATGTGGACACCTACCCATATCCATAGACAGGAACAGTAGGGTCGTGGGGTGTAAATTTGTATACTTCAGTTCCTCTTGGAACTGTTTTTTGATAGGTGTGAAATTATAAAAAGGAAAGAAAGATAAAATGATGAATTTAATTTATTGTCAATGTTCATATTCTTAGAAAGTGCCTTTATGTGAATCAGTGGACAGTGCAATGTTTGAGTGGAGGGTGGATCTGACGCAGTCTGGAAATGGAGATTTTATCAGCCCGCCAGTGCAAAGCAAGCTGGTGACGACCACTTGTGGAGTGAGGAGATCGAATGGTTTCTTTGACCTGCATATTTTTGTAGGAAGTGAAATGGGCATCACCTCCCTGTTAACATCAGGAATGTAAGTGACTCCTCTAAGAAAAGCAAAATAACATTAAGTCATCATCAAGTGACACTAATCAAACAGCATATTTATTTATATCACTAGGGAAAACAATATATTCTTGAGTTGCGCATAGGAATAATATGGCAGAACAACTTCCACCATCTGTCCTAATTTATTTCTGCAGTGTGTCTACTTTTGATACTTATGTGATTATGTTATATTTTTTTTGGTTCTGCCGCCTTTTTCCCGGATGTCTACAGGTGATAGTTACAGCTGTTATATGAATACCTTGTCATTATGGACAGTTTTCCATTAATACAGACACTTTCTGTGGCTGACAAATAATTAACGGATGTCACTGTACGTATCTTGAATGAAACACTTACAGTGTTATTGCATATTCTCTCTGTAGGGTTTCATGGAAAACCGAATCAGGGAAAGAGAAAATAAAGTCATGGAAAGAAGAACTGATCAACCTCAAGGATGATGTCCTCTGCTTAAGTGAAGTAGTTCGTGTGGAAGAAGTCCAAGACAATGCAACTCTCTGTTTTTTGATTCAATATTTAATGCACTAACAAAAAAAAAAGGGTTACGCTCGGACTATTCCAGGGCATAGATGCATGGCCCTTATAATGCCTTTTGAAACACTTACGTGGAAGTCCCTTATGACTGGCTGCAGGCTACATTACATGTGACCAGAAAATGTACCAAGTTGGGAAAAGATAAAAATCTGGCCCTAGTTGTTCAAAAGGCGGATAATGCTATCCACTGGATAGCACAATTTAGTTTCCCTAACAATCATGCATTGGATAGTGCTATCCAACTTTTAAACAAGTGGTGCCTGAACATTACATACTAGGCATTTGGTATTTCCAATGAAGTTATAAGCCATAATTTTCTTGTCCACTTTATCAAGTTATCTTTAGATTCTTCAAGTTTCAATCTGGAATGTTATAAGGAAGCTGGTCACACATGAGCGAGTTAGTTCAGCATGAAATGTTTCACGTTGGAGGTAGGGTGACCTTAACAGAAGGGTCATCCTACCTTCTTGTTTAAACTGTACTGTCACTGGTCTATTAAAGAGGTAGCAGTGGAAATGAATTTTTTTGAGGCCGGCCCTCTCCCCCTCTCTGGGTCTGGATTAACGCTCCCCTCCCCCCTTTATCCGTTGGTCTGGATCCGCCAATGGGTAGTGATTAAAGAAAATTTAAAGAGACTGTATGAAATGTTTTGTAAAAAACATGGTTTTGTTTAAAGTATAACTGTTTTTGGGGCAAATAACAAGCGAACTTAAACCTAGCAATAACCAAAAAAAACAGTATTTAAGTTCAAAAAAAGAGGCAAGAGACCATTTGTATTCTATTGTTCCTCTTGAATGATCCTTGCAATGAATTCCCGAACTTGTAAATATATTTCAATGCCATAGTTGTTGTCTTCCATCAGAGGAGTAAAGTTCTGTGTTAAAGCAGCATTAGCCTCCTCTGATAGTTCAAAGTCTATGTTTGCAATCACCACTCCCTCCTCATCTTCTTGAGGATCAGGCAGTGGAGCATCAGGATCATGCCCATACATGTCCATATCCTCCGGTATGGAATTGTCAGTGTCCAGAACATCACGTATACCAGCATTTGGGGAGTTGAAATTTCTGAGGCACCCGGAGGCCCACAGTTGCCGGGGTGTTCGGTTACGTTCAGTTGAGACAGAATGAAAGTTGAAGCGTTGAGTAAATCTGTCTAACAGTCTCTGCACTCTCGGAAGGAAGACATAGTGCAAGGCCAACATATCACGTTCACATGTAGGGTCCAAAATGTGTCTAGCCTCCATAAACAAAAACAAAGATGTAAACACAGTCACAACACTTTCCACAACATCTCTCCAAAGGCGTTCTATTCTGGTGTTCCGTGTGCTAGGCCCTGTCAAAAAACTGCCCCGATTTTCACCTCGAAAAAAGACCATGAAATCTCTGACAGCCACATTTTCTCCTCCGTTGTCGGCTCGAACTCTCGATGGGACACCCCATTCATTTGTTGACTGCTGAAACGAGGTGAGGACAGTACTTGCTCTATTGTTGTTGTGAACATCGAGGTAAATTATACATCGCGAAAATCCGTCAATGCAGCCATGGATGCACATCCGCCAGTGACATAATTTTAAATTACTGTCCATGTGCCACAGGAAGTTTGGATGAGGGACACTGTAAGGTCTCCTAACTATTCTCTGTCCCCACCTATTTGCACGGTTGATCGGGTCTACTCTTACTATGGCCTCTCGCACCCTCCACCTTTGAACATAGATGCCCCTCTGTCTGAGGCCTGCCATAACATTTGTTTCGCCTGTCCGCGGGAAAGCATTTAGTTCATCTCTGACAAGATTGTCCAAGTCAGTGCCAGGAATATTACTGTACCCCTCAAAGACGAGAGAAAAATCCAAGCTCCCTTCTCCTGTTATAAATAGTTTGCCTAGAGACCCCTAAGTCGGCAGCAATCTGCGTCCAGCTGTTGAACTCACTCCTCAAACATGATAGCTGTTCTGAAGGGATGACGTACCTTGGTCTCCCCGGGCCTGACGACGACTCTACCTGCGGTCTGTACGAGTAGCCGTGCATTACAGGCAGCTGAACAATAAGACCATAAATTGCCCTTAAATTTTCTCGCAACGTTTCAAGTTCTTGTACCTCCGTATGAGAAAATCCACCACTCCGGTGCATGTGTTGGACAATGTCGGTAATATGCCGCAAAGCACACAACACCCGATTTGCATAAAATTCTGCTCTCCGTTGGTCGGAGCGAATGTTATCCATCTCCGTTTCCACCTCTCTCAACAGAGACATGACAGTACGGACAAACTGGGCCAAGTCATCATCTGCAGTAGATCTGGGAAAAACGAAAAAAGCATCAGTAGATGAAAACTTTTCAGGAAAATTTGAGATATTCCAGTATAAGCTTGATTTGCCGCGATGTATGATTCTCTCGATTGGAAGAAAGTCGACTTACCTTGAGACAATTAAGGCCAAGACGAGAAATAAAAACATTTGAAGATGATACTTCATCATAACAGGACAATAACCATAAAATATTACAACTGTGTAAAGGATAACAAAGCTTATTTCTACTAATTTTCTTGATACAGTGTTTAACGACGAAGAGCATGAAGCGTGGATCGGGATTATGGCAAACAGACCCACGCTGTTTCCCTGTTGCACATTGATTCCGTAACCATGGTGTCTCCATGGTATCTTTATAAATAGTCGTTTCCAGTCTCCTTTCTATGATCAGCGTCAAGTGTTTCGGCAGCATTACGAGCGATTTTCGAAAATATTTCGAAAGTCGAAAGTATTCCGACATTTTCGTAATTATTTCGCAAATCCAAACCATCCCGAATTTTGGGAACCATTCCGAACTTTCGGAATCATTGGGAAATTTTCGGAACCATTCCGAGATTTCGGAATTTTTTTACACATGGCGGGCCATACTCTTTAAGATGTTTCTTTACTGCCTCTGTTCATCAAAGGCGCCTCGAAAACAAACTAGTAGCGATCGAACATCTGGTAAAAGTTCTTCAAGCATCAAAAGCTCACGATATCACAGTCGTGACGTCTCCAGAACCACCTTTGTGTAGGTCAGTTTAACATACAAAACAGATAATAAATACCCATGGATTAGATGCAGATAATGAACAATTATTGGATGAGGTTTTTGTGATATCCGGAATAATCAAAGTAATTCGAGGTAAGCGTTATCAGCCTGAGCCTAGCCGAAGGGCGTGGCTGATAACACTTACCGAGACCTTCATTATTCCGGATATCACTAAAACAGAATCTAATAATTGTTTTATTATACAATGTTTTCAAGAAAATAAGGACCAACATAGCATCGCATGGAACACAGTTTGACATTTTTAAATTGATCTTGAAAATCATGCTTTACGTGCAACCTACAGATTATGATTTCCGAAATTTGCTGTAGGCTGTTAGCCAATGATAAAACAGACAGTGCGAGTACAATGTCTAATAATAATAATAATAATAATAATAATATATTAATAATTCAGCCGTAGCATTTAACCACTGTGAAAGTCAAAATTATTGCATTTTCAGACGTTCCGTCTTTTTTACTATATACTAAGAGTTTAGAGTTTAGCATATGCTTATGATCAAGTCTGAATATTAGAAGTTCACGGCAGAAGTAACCATCTCTTAAATTTTTAGCACGATATGTAGAAATTCTGTTTCCAAAACGGGAAAGTATGTCTCTGTCTCATTTGCCTAAACTGTTTCAAAATACAAGAAACCTTTTCGCCAGACTTCAAGAAAGTTTAAAATATTGCTTTAGTAATTTCGTTACATTCGTGCCAAAAACGTTATTAATTGGCACTCGTTTGCGAAACTGCTCTTAAAATAAATGACATTTCGAATGTCCATCCGCTGCTAAGTTCATCAATTGCATAAAATGCACTCTAAGCTAAACTGTTCACAGTCCCCTATGTTTTCGTAGATCGTTGAGGTATAGCGCGTCTTACGTTAACGGCGGCCATCTTGAGTTTCAAATGTATCACTAGGGCGGGCGACGGGGATTATAGCTCTAGGGAAAGGGGGGGGAGAAAAATATTTTTCTCGCTTCCTCCCAAACAGCCCCCGCCCCCTAAGTAGTACTGACACTCATGCAAGATGGCAGCCCGTAACGCGAAGGGCTCGATCTCGACGATCTTACGGAAAAATAGAGGACTGTGAACAGTCTAACTCTGAGCAGACCTACGTACGAAGGTGGGAGAAAAGTAAACTCAACATTAGGGCCCAGATGTGGTAAAGTATGACCTGGGTTTCTTTTTCTTTTGTTCAAAAACATTTTCCCGGGCAATCTATTCTATTCTTTTTAGAGCGTATCCATGCAACCATCAAATTACAGACAAAAGAATTAAATTGAATTTTTTTTACACTCTCATATTCTGATTTCAGATTTTGCATTAATTAACCGTTGAATAACCTAACCTAGCTTCAACGACCCAGCCCAGTCTGAATAGAACTCGGCTATCTTGACCAACAAAACCACTAAAATATGGCTATCTGATCAATTTACTGTCTCTCCTAGCCTGTGAACAGGCCTTTGGTCGAGCGGGGAACTAGGGAGACGGAAAAGCGAAAAGGCCTGAAGACAAACATGTGGGACCCCGTTCCACGGCACCCGCTGTGCATCAGATCCTGATGCAAGTTCTTATTGGCGAGAACACTGACTGTTGACAGGTCTGATTGACATCGGCTTTTCGGTCGGCACGTAGCACGCGTTTTGATCACAAAGCACAGGGAGCCCACACAATAGGTTTGTGTAGCCGATTGTTATTTTATAGTAAATGTACTGGATTTACCGTTTGCTTCACCTATAGCGATATATCGCTAACTATGTATATAAATCAATGATAAATAAACGTTGAATTACCTTACCTGTGGTGTATAGTCGTCCTTTTGCCTCAAAAGCGGTTTTTTGAGCGATTTTGAATGAATTTGAGTTCGCCGTTGACTGTTCCATATATATGGAACAGTCAACGGCGAACTCAAATTCATTCAAAATCGCTTTATATGGAACAGTCAACGGCGAACTCAAATTCATTCAAAATCGCTCAAAAAACCGCTTTTGAGGCAAAAGGACGACTATACACCACAGGTAAGGTAATTCAACGTTTATTTATCATTGATTTATATACATAGTTAGCGATATATCGCTATAGGTGAAGCAAACGGTAAATCCAGTACATTTACTATAAAATAACAATCGGCTACACAAACCTATTGTGTGGGCCCCCTGTGCACAAAGTGGAAATAACAAAACACTCCAAAACACTCTTGTTCATAAGCTATTACCAAGGGAGGAACTACGCGCTCCAGTCAAAAGACTCACACTATCTTTCGAAAAACACTTGGCTGGAGTTTACCGACTCACAATGCAATTCCCCATAGTTGGTGTAGCTTCGGTTTAAGCTGCGCTTGAATCTTATAACTTTGGATCTGTAAATTACTATCCGTGATAATTTTTAAACATTCTGCAAAGAAAACTAACGAGCAGGGCCCAACGTGATACAACATTTCAGAAAAACATTACATTCACATTTCATTTCCCTTCCCTTTCCTTGCTATTTTTTCCCCAAACAGAGAGCCTGTTAAGAGGCTAGTCTCTCCCGGCAAAAAGTGTAGAATGGTTCTCATTCAACTAATTTATTCTTGGTATTCATACTACCTTGTAGTGTTGCCGCTTGAGTGAGATAACTCCACGCTTTTTCGGTATACGAAAACGCACTCAAAGCCCAATACCTTCTTGCCAAGATAAATTAAGGGCTCGCGATCGAAACGTCAACTTTTCCATCATTTTATTCGTTGGTAAATTAAATTGAGATACCAATTCAGATGTAAAGAAAAAAATGCGCACTATTACAGGATTTGCAGATTTCTACAAGGGAATACGCCCAATCGCTTGCAAGTTCTCAGCCGTCGTTCAGGATTTTTCTTAAAACGAAAAAAAACAACAACAAAAAACAAGCATTATTGTTTGCTTTGTAGCTTTTACTTTTTTCCTTGGTAGTGACAACTTTGCCACCATGTACTTACTTCTTTTGTAGAGGTTTTTCTAGGCAAATAAGCTGTTGTGATACTGCTGATGTTGTTAACTGGGCCAACCCTCACGGAGACAAGCATATCAATCGACGCTAGGCGGACTTCAATTAAAGCACTCTTGCTTCCCAAGTCTTCAAGCACAGTAATGCGTCGATGGAACGGTTCTCCAGATATTCCAACAACGTTGACTCCTGCATCAATTAAAAATGGCGAAATCAAATCGGTTAATGGCAGTCGATCAGAGGAGCAAGAATATTTTAACGCCGCTAATATTTAAGAAATCGCGTGACAGTATTCAGTGCTAATCCGTAATCAAATTGAGTCTTTAAATCCTACGGCTATACCATTATTAAAATGAAACTGATAACATAAATGAGCTTGGAAAGTAATTTTAAACTATGAGCAAAAAATAACGCATCCTCGGAGACCCAGGGGCAGTCAGTCGGGTCGGGAGAAAAGGCGGGACGAAAGTTTTCAAGAACGGGCAAAAGAGCCCCTGGGTACCGACTCTCACCGAACTATTTCCAAAAATTCGAGTGGATGCCAGCTCCTGATTGGGCCCAAAAAGTGCTTTGCATTATTGTGCCCAATTGGCGAACAGTTTCCCCTGAGTTCTTTTCATGACTCGTACACGACGGCTATTGTCTCGATCACGGCTTGTCTGGTTCATGCACCAAAGAAATGCATGCAGTCAGGAAACTTTCAGTTTGATAAAAAA